TGGTACACAATAAAATTGGCATATAATTTAATCAAACCTCAATTTTCTCTGATATATATATATATATATATATATATATATATATATATATATATTAAATGAGGGATTCAATTACATATAAACATGTTCTGCCAAAAAAATAATTACAAAACTCACGCGAGTAGCTCAACAGTGTGGGATTGGATTTAGACGAACTGTACTCCCGAATGTTAAGGCGGAGCATTTGGCAATGCTAGCAACCTAGTGAGGGCCGGCTGTTTAGAAACAGATTAAAGCAGGGCCTACTGGGCTTACTTCTCGTGAGATTGGATGAAAGAATCAAAAAAAGACTCATAAATGGCGTTCGACCCTCGTTAATGGCTCATTTACTTAATTGATGTATGTGATTTACGGGTAATTATAAGTATACAATATTTACTCTGGTAGGGATGAATATAACATGACTTTGACTTGGAAAATTTTCACGTTAACAAAAAAAAATTAATAATTAATAAAAAAATATATTAGAGTGGATCTTATTCCGCTGACGATGGTATGGGGTCACGTGAATAGGGATGGTGCTAGTGTATATTATGCAGCATCAATGGCATGACGGATAAGGTTTGAGGTGCGTGGATGGCCAAACCTTTATCTGTATTTGTCCTAACCCTAGTGGTTAGGATTGTCACGGAGCGAGGGGCAATTCACGTTTAGCCCCTAACTGGAATTCCCCAAACTACCCCGAATAAAATGGGCCAATAATGAGCTATGCATTCTCTTGGTCTAGGCCAATTAAAGAAACATATTTTAATTGATTTGAATACGAATTTAATTTTAAAATTTAAATTTATAAATTTAATCTGTATAGTTGATTAGGTTTTTTTTAACGTTCTAATCAAAATTTAATAATAATATGAATCGAAAATCCAATTTAAATATCTATACGATTGAAACATTTCAATCATAGTTGAATTACAGTAAATTATATCAATAATTTTACCTTCAAATAACCGATGAATTGCAACATATACTTGTATATATATATAATCACATCGAATATTGATAATTATTTAAATTCGGGTTCAAATTAAAAGTCAATTCACCGACAGATGTGGCCTAGGTACTATGGTTTGGGTTTTGTGAATATGTGGATCATTTGTAAATTGCTATTTTTTGGGATTAGAGTAATGCAGGCATCAAAATCAAAAGAGTAATGTTATGTGTACTAAAATTTGTACCAAATCATTTACAGTCGTTGAATTAATAGATATCATCGCTAATCCATTGGCTACAATTAATTTAATGTAATTTTGATGAACAAATTTGATACATAAAAAATTACCCAACTCAAAAATAAGAAGTACTTGATTTATGGACCCCCTATTTGTAGAATTATGGCAATTTGACCCATTTTTACATCATGGTACATTAAATGAGTGAGTCCTATTTTCACACTTTAGGACAACATAGGCTCTATCTAGGGTTCCTCATGTTGTGCTTGAATTGTTGTGTTTTTTCTTAAATTTGGTACTATCTTTCAGTACACTTTTCAAATATTATAATGTACTACTACCTTTCATTGTGTGATAAATGGAGCATTGTATATGCTCAATTTTGATATGTTTTTTGAGACTGAATTAACTCTAAAATAATAAATATTATAAGAAATCGAGTAGCTAGGATTTGACTACATAAGTTTGTATTAAAGCGCACTACTAAAGTGGTCGAAACATGGGCGCTCGACTTTTATTACGTAGTTATTGAAATATAAAAATTTTGGTGTAAATTAGAATGATTCAGAATCCACATATATTTGCCTATAAGTTAATAAAGAATCAAATCTCCTTCATCCATCTTTTTTGAAATTTAAAACTATGGCATTTTTATTGAAAAAAAAACTTTATAGATGCTAATAGGATGAAGCATCCACACATGCCATAACATGGTTTGGCTTGAGTATATAGAGAGAGAGACTCTTTCCTCTTCTAATCAAAGTCTCTTGTCAAAATTAGGTGTTGATTATTAGGGTTACCTAGGAAGAAAAAAAGGGTAAAAAGAGAGAGCTATTTTATCAAGCTATACTAGCATATAATGCACAAGGTAACCACTATATATATACGTGTAAAATAGGTAACAGCAAGATCATGTGAGCCTGAGACTGGTCAAGGACCATGATAGCTAACAAACATGATTTGACCAAACACATACATGTGAGCATGACAAAAGTAGATTCTCTATATGTTACTAATCTCTTATGTGATTAAACAATCACTAAGAGCTAAAATGAAGACGAACTAGTTCGGTGGTCGTTTAAATGGTGAGAAATAATCATATACGTATCTTGAGTTCAAGCTTGACCGACTTCATAAAAGTGGGACTTAGCCGATAAACTTGATTTATAAGTGATTATATGCATTTGAGTTTTTGCATCGTAATCTTGAGCTTAAAGGGCCCGTCGATGGAATGATGTGACATAAGAAAAAAAAAACAAAATTATGAAGATCCACTACCCCTTTAGTGGATCTGGATCCATCATTTTCTATTGTGGGTCCATTGAGGCCCAAATGAATAATGAGTTCATGTGGAAGGATGGGAAAAGGGCTGCCTAACATTTTGATTGCTTATTGAAAGGAGAAGGTTGCTAGTTGGGGTTTCATGGCCCACTATTTTGCTTGGACTCCATTGATACACTTGAACTCTCGCTCACGATGTTAATTGACATAATAACTAATCATTAGTGCTCCGTTTGGTAAGATAAAAAAGTAGAAGGATCAAAAATTGGAGGAATAAATAAAATATTATATTTGATAAAGAAAAAAAATAAGAAGGGTGAAAAAGTGAATGAATTAACTTTTCTTCCAACTCACCAAAATTAATCCCTATAAAATCGGAAGGAAAGTGGACGAAAAGTTAATTATTTGTATTGAGATGTATCTTATTTGTCTACATATATTTTGATATATATATATATATTAAAAAAATTAAAATTAAAAAATATTTTTTCTATCTTAACTAGTGGTGGAAATTTTCGACTCAATACGATGACACGACTCGAACTTGACACGAATTTTATGACACAAATTTGATTATAACTTGACACAAATTTGAAAATGACCTGAATTGACACCATCAACCCGTTTATTTAAAAATAAATACTTTATCTATTTTCTTATTTGTATGGTAATACGAAATTAACACGAAACTAACATGTTTAACTGGTATTGTAGACATAAAATGTTAATTATTTGTAACTATTTATTAAACACCGACATAATTATTATATAAAAAAATATTTTTACTTATTATTATTATTATATTTATTTAAGTTAATTTTTTTTAGTTTGTAAAAAGAATATTAACATAGATTCAATTAAGTGAAAATAGAATATTAACATTAAAATTTTTATTCAAAGTTTATGTGGGTCAGCACGAACACGTACACGATACGAAAATAAATAGGTCAACTTGTAACTCGACATGACATAATTAGTTAAATAAGTTGAGTTAGGTTTAACTAATGTTCGACAGAAACCCGTAATAAATCAATACAAATTTGACACAATACGACTCGATTGTCACCTCTAACCTTAATCAACACACAAAAAAATAAAAAAAAAATTAGTCATTTTTATTTTTCATTCATCCAACCAAACACAAAAGAAGGAAAATGTATTATTCCTATTTTTCTTCTTTGAATTATAGAAAATGTATTATTCTTATTTTTCATCCTTCCAACCAAATTAAGCATAGAGATTGAAAATAGGTTATGCCAAGGGAAATTTATGGTACAGTAGGACATAAAATGGTAGTAAGAATGTAGCAGAGGCATTAGGGAAGTGGGTACACGTGTGTAGTTTGTTTTTTTCTTTTTTCTGATTTATTAAAGATATATCTAGTCATTTTCGAGCATCTAACTAAAATTTTCAAGCTTATGCAGTCCTTCCATTCTACACGCGTATTGGGAATTCTTTTGGTAGATACTAATTGAATTTTATTTGTGAAAAAAACGAAGATATAATAAAGTTCAACACACACCACGAGGGGAATCCGTACCAATATTTGTAGAGAAGAACTCATTACAATCAGGTCTACGAAATAAACGACTAAACATATAACTTTCACAACTCGAGAGACTAGGTACGAGAAATCCAGAGAAATTCCTTGATAATTGAAACATGACATTACGTATGCACTTGAATACGTTGACAAGGAGAAATTCCCTAATAATCATCTTCTATGGTATTCTGGCTATCTAACAGGCTGGGCCTAGCCCATTATTATTGAGGAAGGAGGATTTATTTTATTGGGCTAAAGACAGAGAGGTTAGCATATCTGATATAGTCCAAACAAAAGGATATCAGGCCCATTATTAGACCATTGTTTGTCGGCCCAGTAGATAATCCAGGCAACTGTCATATATAATAAATAAAGAAAACTGACTATGGACGAAAGAAGTGTTATTTCGTTATTATGTCGAAGTCTGTGTCGTATTAAAATATGTTCAATCCATATATGACTTATTTACGTGTACGAGTCATGTTAAGTTGAATTCTTGTCTTATATAATAGGAGTTTGTGTCGATTTATTTACTAAGCAAAACATGAGAATCCGCCAATTTACTTGAGGATAATTCGGGGTAATGTCATTTTTACTTGATAATCTCTGCATCATTTCCTTCTTCTGTGGTATAGTTCAGATTGTGTGAATTGGCCTGGTTTTACTTGAGAGATTAGATTAAACAAACCTGATCACTGCGAAAAAAAACCATCCAATTGCAACCCATACTAAAAAACTAATAACTATTTTAATACTGACCTACTGATAATACTATTTATCTTTGCATGCCTTACTTGAATTCTAGTATAAGATTCATTTACAAAGAAGAACTATTTATATATTCTAGGAAAGCATCGAAAGAAACCGATACATTTTCCATGAAAATGAAGTTTAGCAACATGATATAGCTATAGAAATGCATATTCTTCCCATTATTAGGATATATATATATATATATATATAGTTCATATGATATCTTTGACAAAAACTGTATCAGAGCAGAAGCTTTGTTGGACTTCAAGTGCTAGTTCCTCCATACTTATCTTGCACTCCAGCCCTATCTGTTAAAAAAAAAAAAAAAAATCTATTAAAACGAAAGTGAATAATGAAGAAACTTGAAAATTAACTACTTAGGTAATTTATCTACATAGATGTATCAAGAGATCACTTCAATCAAAGTTGTTAGGTGATGCCTAGTTTCCAAAGCTATCAATATGGCCAGGTTCCCATGTTGTCAGTTATGTATACCAATACTACCAGGGAGAGAATGTGAATGAGTACGTACCTTTTTATTTCTTAAGTACCATGAGAGAAATTAGATGACTATATGTGGTCATTTCATTGCTGTTTTGTCGACATTCTTTCACCAGATATGCATGTATGGACATATTTTTTTACCCGTAATCAGAATCTTATATGTGACGGATTTAAACTTGGACATAACAACATTCAATCCGATGTTGATCATCTCTCCTAACGTGATCCTCTCGATAATCTAATCTTTCTTTTCAACCTTATGGAATGCCATTAGCCCCATCAAAACTATGTGCAATAGACATGAATCCTTGATAGGAGGCCTTTAAAGAGTAAAGATATCAACAAGGGAGTTATTGTATTTGCTCGGACTAGCCCTTTGTTTGGTAGTAGGAGAACAAGCAAATAAATTTCGTAGCATACCTTTATGACAAAGGAGTACAGAACAGTGTCTTCCATGCTACTGATATTCAGATGAAGGATCTCAAACGAAAGTTTCTCCAAAACATTGATTATCTTCACAATTTGACCTGGAATTCTCCGGGATATAGTTCTCAAGATAACGTTCGATCCGGAGAGCTTTGCTTCCACATCTGCAACCGGCGAGTTGCAGCATGCTCCAAGTTCCTTAAAACTTTCGACCCCGAATGGGCTATCAGGTTGAGGACTTGGCTGCAATGGCCTGGGGCTTGGACCAGGGCTAGGGCTAAGGCTATTCCTTCGTTTCTTCGACTCCAAGCACTGTAGAACTTGGTGCAACTCCTTGATGAATTCTATCACACCACCTATAATTGATGCTTGGTCTCCCTTTAATAATCATAACAACAAAGATGTAAAGTTAGCAATGTGTACACATATATGTACATGTAGACATTAAGTATTCAAGTGAATTAGGAATCAACTTCTATATAGTAATTCATTTAAGTTTATTATTAAATTATGAAATGAGCTTGATCCAAATTTTAGAACTTGATAAATGAGCTCAACTTGAACTTGAACATAATATTATTCAATTGGTAAGTCTCGTGAACTAATTGAACTCGTTTTTAAAGACATACTACATGTTTGCGTTTGTATTAGTAAAGGTTGATATTGAATTGGAGCTGGGACTCGAGTCCAAAACAAACACTAATTAGTGCTTAGTTCACCTAATCAAGTCAACTTGAGCTCTGTTCGTTTGATCTAACGAACAAGTCAAGTCGAGCTTGATCAACAAGATATTTTAAAACTCCTAATCGTCGATCACACCCAAGTTTGATGATCCTTCATCCTTCATGAACGGAGGAGCCAAGCCCGTACAGTCTAGTGCTTAGCTTGATGAAGTTCATTTGCAGCCCACGTTTTGGCACAACACGCATACAGAGAGGGAAAAAAGGAAGAGAGAGAGAGAGAGAGAGAGAGGTGGATACCCTCTTAATGTAGAAGCTTGGGGTCAAGGAGCGTAAAACCCTAAGATGTTCATTCATCTGTCTTCTCCTGTTTCGCTCCACAGCTATGTGAGACATTTTATGTTATGAAAGAAAAGGCTTTGAACTTTGGTATCTTTTGGTTCTCTTTATTCTGGAGCAGACTATTCCTACACAAACTTCAGTTTCTCTTACTATATATACTTATATAGGCCACCATACTACGGAAGCCTTCAGGTAGGGTGATATACTGATATCTTTTTACTCGTCTAGGTTCCTCACTCCGTATTAAATGCAATGTGCTACACTCTCGTGAGGTTAATTAGTTTTACACACACACACTCTCTCTCTCTCTCTCTCTCTCTTCGCCTCCCCCTTCCCCCCCCCCCTCCTCGCACACACACACACGCAGACTCTCTCTCTCTCTCTCTCTCTCATATACACTTGCAACCATACAGACTCTCTCTCTCTCTCTGTGGTGTGTGTGGGTGTGGTGTATAAATTAGACCTCACGTTTATGATCTTGGGACAATTACGTTCCCCGCGTGAGATAAAAAAGGGAAGGTAATTTCTCATCTTCGTCATGCACATTGCCTGCTCCATTTGGTTCTTATCATGCATGCCTTGCTCTGCTCTTCATCTCTCTCTCTCTCTCTCTCTATTATAGATATTCATGATTCATCCAACTATCAGTTTCTCCAGAGGTAATAAAAACACCCCTTATTTCTACCCCCTGTCAGATCTCTGTGTTGTGATATTTTGTGAAGAAGACGACTTTTTGTTTATGTATTGTAAGAGAGAACCAATGTCATGGTTACTACTTACTAGCTAGTCCAAGGTAATACCCACATTCATGGTTTGACTATCATTTCTTGAAAATTGGAGTCATAGTTGATGAGATTTTAGTATTCTCACCTTTATAATTAGGAAGATATACCAATTTAATGCAACCTAATCAAAGTTCATGTATAGATGAAATACAACCTAATTATCATTCTTTCCACTTAATTTTTGGGCTGCGAGAGATATATCGTTGTGATCAGCTCTTGTGAAATTACTCTTTAGTTGTCCTTGTTTAGTTTTTTCTAACGTGTTTTAAATTCTATTTATACTATCTAATTTTGTTCTCAACAAAACTTTTTATCAAGAGAAAAGAACAATTTTTTTTTTTTTAATTTGGCAAGATTAAGTGAGATAATGATAATAATTATAATTACTTACTAGGAAGAAAACTAAGGTGAAAGAATACTTCTTAAAAGTACCTGATAATACAAAAACTTACTATTGGATAAATATTATTATTGGATGTTTGCAAAAAAGGACTTAAATCAAAAGCATTTCATAAATATTGTTGTCCCATGTTTATAAAAAAAAGATTGCAATCTGTACCACGATTACTAATATATCATCAAATGTCTGGTGAAGAGCAATGCGTCAAATTGACGTTGCCAGAAAACAATTACAAAATAGAGTCTCTTGTGAGGGTTTGAAAACTGAGAAGTGATGGGCAATAAAGCCCAAAAAGAAAAGAAGCTGAAAAGGAAGAAGGAAAAGAGAGCAATTAATAAAATATGATTCATTGAAGAATAACTAAATATGATTCAAGAAGCACAATCCCCACCAAGCTATTTGCAAGATAGCGTCAAAGCAATGGAAGAAAAGTTGGCTTATATGTAGGGTGGTGGCAACAATGGTGATGACGGCTACGATGCTGGTGGTGGTGGTGGTGGTGGTTGGGGGGCGGGGGATTGTGGCAGCAATGATTGATATAAAAATAAAGTTTCTAAATAAATATTTTTCTTGACTTCTTCTAACTTGATTATTCAAAACGCCAATGATTTGTTTAAAATGTTAGATAACAAACACAAGCCCAAAAAATATTTTTTCTCAATCATTCCAAACGGCAACTAAATCTCCTTTTTTTTTTTTTTCCTTCCATTTTGTTTTAATGAAACCTTATTAATTAGTGGTGATAGTGTACATTCCTACAGAAGTACAAATTTTTTTGTTTTTAACCAGTAAAAAGAGGTAAGAATTGTAAGCACGAGAGTGAGACCTCGTTCAATATTTGTTTAATTCAGTTGTAACCATCGACAGCGAAAAAGTATACAATAAAATAACTATACACGTGTTATGTTTTTATTGAACAAAAAGTACAAATATAATATCGAAAAATAACTTCTCAATACCATATTTTTTCCCCAGTAAGTAACCCGATCATGACATTGACGGAAGACAACTTTCTAAGGATGCAAACTTTCAGAAAGTGGTAATAACATCAAGCATTTGGAGACTACATAGAGTTCATATATACAATTATACTAGACTTTATTAATCATTGAAAATGAAAAAAAAAAAAAAAAAACCAAGAAAGGAGGTCTTGATTCAATTTTTCCTTGCATTGTTCACCATGACTTTTGGTGTTGGTCATCCACTTAGCATGGTTCAATCCTAAACTTCATGTGATCTTTCTGCCTTCACTCCTGCATTTCAATGGAAGAGAACAGAGTAATCACTAAATTACCATATCGCTTAAAGCAGAAAACTGCTATTACCGTAACAAAGGTTAGGGCAAAAATGCAAAAAAAAAAAAACTAGTCCTCTAAAGTATCACTGTGCAGTAAATGCAAAATCAGTAGCTACAAACACCATCTTCACATCTATTCTCAAAGCATTTTCAGGAATCCTCCAACTTGTTAAAGTTTTCCATCCATTGCTATGTTCTTCCATGAAGCTTTAAGATGATTTACTCCAAATAGTAATCTATAAATGGTATAGTTGCCAACTTCAAACATAATCCAAGTCAAATTACATAAGTTATCAACTCCCACCCCCCCCCCCCCCCACCCCCCCAAAAAAAAAAAAAAACATGCGGGCGGGGGACCCTACTTTTCCTGCCTTTTTTCTTTTCCTGAGCATTCAAGACTCCCACTCTGATGTTTAGAAATTTCTCCATAATAGTCCTGAACATTGGTCAATTATGATGTTACCACACTACTTCACCATTTCCAGACTACATTGACATATTGATTTCTAACATTTGGTTTAAACACATCACCAACATGTTCCCAGTGTCTGAATTTGTCCTACCCAGGGATTTACATGGGAAGATGGTTAAACAGATCAAGTACTGTCTAAATTTATAAATAATCAGTGAAATCAACTACATTATCAATGGTTACCTCGAAGAGATTTCTCAAAGTTCTGTAGCTGTAACAGAAAACCAGAGTTAGGAGATGCCACTGGTCTTTTACTCTTCACGTGTTCCAAGGCTTCGGATAAGCTCATACCATGCTTTTTCATCAGATAAGCAACAATAATAGTCACACTGCCAGGTGGAAGACAGAAATTTGTTTCAGTTTGCTCAATTTCATGGTTTACGTAGTTTTTAGCTATTAAGGATAAAACCCAATTCTTTAACGAAATCTTTTGACAGGTTTCATAGGATAGTTAAAAGCGACACACTGATATATTAACCCACTAGTGCAAGTTAAAAAACATCTAAAATGGTTGTGAAATATTTTAGGTTTCAATTATATAAGCTCTGCGTCTTCCTCATCCACATCGTTTTTGGAAATGAAATAGGAAAGTCTCCTCGTTCTCTCTCTCTTCTTTGGGGGAGCAAGTTGGCCACATTTGTATCAGCCTAGAGGAAGTAAAGAATCACTGACCAGGTGAAATTTATTAAGATACACACAACTACTTACAGATGCACCAATTAAAGATTGAAAAGGATTAGCCAGAACTCAAGGCAAGATCAAGCCCAGCTACATCATATTTTTTTTTTTTCTAACAGAACTACATCATCTGATCAAGCACAAGAATCACAGCATGGACCTCACCAGGCTCACAGAACAACACTAATCAATCACCAAATGAGTCATTCTTTTAACATAGAAAAATGAATTGAAGCTGGTAACTGTTGATATCAATGCCCACAGCTACTAATGGGGAGGACTTGTAAATTACCAAATATCCACATCTAAAATTGAGAAACTGACTTATAGAACTATGGAAGTTTGTTTCTGTCTTTGTTTGGAAAAACCAATAAACGCCATAGAAATAGGGTAAAAACATGCTCAAAATATCTCTTCATCAGCCATAAAAGCATAATCCCTGCAAAGCAAGAGACAAAGGTAAAAAAATTCACCTTCTGGATCTTCCCACAAAGCAATGAACCAATACACCACCACCCTTTCTTTTAGCTTCATCAATGAATTCGAAACATTCATCGAAGTAATGCGATATGTTTATGTCTTCTCTGTCTAGGACTGCCTCAAGCCACATATACCACAAGTTAATCCAAATTTCCACAATAAAAGTGAATATGCTTTCAAATATTAAAAAGCATCAAAGAAATCCTAACTGAAAGCTCTTTTATTCAGAAAATCAGAAATTAAGTACAAGTAAAAGAATGAATAACATACTACTATACTAAGAAAAAGAAGGGTAAATTACATTAACACCCCCCGAGTCTTGAGTTTTTGAATTGTAACAAAGTCACTCCTTCTGAGTAGAAACCAATGAAAAAAAGATTACAATTCCATACTTGCCCTTATTTTCATTGATTTAAACTTCATAAGTCAGTCAAATAAGGTCAAAATGATTAATGAATTTCATTAAAAATTTTCACAAGGGGTCTTCATGTAATTTTGAAATATCAAGGGGTAGCCTGTTGTCTCACCAAACTCTGGTGGTTTCAGTGTTATTTACCTTAAAAAAATCACCACTGAAACAAAACATATGAAGTTGAAAACAAAATTGCTTTGAGAAAAGATACTATTAAAATGTCGTTTTTGCACAAAGCTTGAAGACACAATGCAAAGAAGTTGAACAACATATAAGACCTTAGGGGACATTCTAGCATGCAAATATTCACTCAAGGAACATTATTCGCAAATAAATGACAGGAGACTACTTCAGGTATCAAAGCCTAAACTTTCCTACCATTAACAATTTTGTATGTGAAATCATTGGGATGAGCAGGTGCCAATGAATTGGCCACGGTTAAAATGTGCGTGATATTCAAGCTTTTCAATGCACTCTTGTTATTTGCAGCACCAAGGGAACCCAAGTAGAGACCCTGAAAGATCCAAGAATAACAAGGTTATTGTAAGTGGGAAAATGTTTGTTAATAGAAAGTCGGAATTTAGTGAATTATGCAGTAGTAGAGAACCTATTAGCTCAGATTTACTTACCTCTTCAATTTTGAATGGAACATTATCCTCTCTTATGCATTTTGTTGCACGCATTGCTTGCCAAAGAGCTGAGATTCGCTCCCTATAGATTTCATCAAATCGATCCATTGCTGATTCAGAAAAAACCTTCTAATCTTTTCTCGCTTTTCCGCTCAAAAATTCTTAGAAATTATCGAACTTTTCAAACTCTTCCACAATAAAAACACCCACAAGTCCAGAATGTATATACGAGCTTCACACCCTAAGGGAAGCAAACCTGCAGAGGGGAAATAGTGAAACTGACAGTCAAAATATTGCATCCTCCGGCATTATATTTGGGATTTCTAAAAATTCCATGGGATCGATTGATAAACAGGTCGGTTAGATTTCTTCCAGTCTGACAAATAGATATAAAGATAAATATCCAGTTTCGCCTGGTTTTCCTGAATCAAATCAATGTCAAATATTTGATATTTTCAATAATTTCAATCAAAAACAACAGCGACAGCACTAGATATTATCAAATTCAGACTAAACAAGCCCAAGAACAATCTGGGTATTTTCAAGAAATTAAAAACGAAGCTAATCTGAATTAGGGCAGCAATATTTACAGAACCCATATGAGCAAAACCCAATTAATATGCATGTATCAATGTCAAATATCTAGTATTTTCAATCAAAAACAACAGAGACAGCCCTAGATATTGTCAAATTCAGACTAAACAAGCCCAAGAACAATCTGGGTATTTTCAAGAAATTAAAAACGCAGCTAATCTGACATAGGGCAACAATATTTACAGAACCTATATGAACAAAACCCAATTAATTGCATGTATCAATGAAATCATAGGAGTGTTAACAGAATTACCGATTTACAGAGAGAAAACGACTAGCATCGCAAGAATCGCACAATTAGATCGATGAGAAAGAGTGGCAGAACTAGCTCTGTTCTGTGATCACGTCAGATGATTCGGCACTTACAAATAGTTTGCTATGCCGGTCACTATGGTCATCTTCACGATTCGAAGGATTTGAGCCTTTCATAATTCACTATTTTTATAAATAAGTGGCTTCATATATTCGTTTATATATCTATAATAATAAACCAATTTTCAATCCATTTTCACTTCAAAATTTATTTCAATTTTAATTCATTTGGGAAAGCACAAGAACGATTCAGATTAAATCCACTTTTAATTTAAAAGTCCAAATTTCATCTCAATTCTTTCAACTTAATCCAAAGGCTCAAAATACATTCTACGTAAATATCATCTCCCGCCCATTTTAACCCCACACACACACTACCCCAATCCAACACACAACCCCAATTAAGCGTACTGTCTTCTTCTTTCTCACCTCTCGCTCAGTGTCTCTCTCTCTCTCTCTCTTCTCACTTTGTAAGTCACCAAGAGAGACAGACCCACTAGAGTCGAAACCACCAGCGTCATCTGCCGAAACCACCAGCGCCACCTACCGGGGTCACCATCTCCAGCCGCTAGGTACTTTCTATTCCCCTCTCTCTCGGTTCTCTCTCCTCCCTATCTCTTCTCTCTCATGCGTTTGTTAACCCCTTTGTCTTCCCCAATCTCTATCTTATCTTTCTCTCACCACTCTATCTTTCTCTCTTCACTCTCTTATCTACTAGCCTGAACAACGACCACCACCATGGAGACCCACCAACGACCCTGCCAGTAGCATAACAAAAATATAGTTCAATCTGTGAGCATTATCTAAGAAAACTTCAATATCCTTGACACTAATGGTATGAATAGGGTATCGCCAGATTCCCCATCCATTTTCTTGGATTGGATCACTTTGGGTGTTTCAGTTAGTGTACTTGAACTGTTTGTTGAAATGCCTCCGAGAGGTACTCTATTGTTAAATTTATCATGTTAAATATATCATGTGAACTGTTAGTGCTTTAGTTTGAAATTGAGAGATTGAGACGACATTTATCTTGAATATTTGCGAAATAAATATATCATGTGGTGTTTCAATTGTCATCATTTGGAGCAATGTGTCTCTTTTGTGTTATCGTTATTTGGAGCAATGGATCCCTTGGAGCTTTGTGTAGGCGTTGCTTGATCAATATCTATTTGATAGCTGAAACGTACGTTAGTTATTACGCTTGAGTGGGTTTCATTTACATCTAAATAATGGTGTTGCTCCAAATTTGTGTGCACTGTTAGGGTACAGTAGCTATATTTATGGCCTTCCAAACATTATATTTACATTGAAGAATCATCACAAAAGGTGTCTGAAGGCATTATGTGGTTTTGGTGTATTTGTGGACAGTTATTTGGAAAGTGGCGTAGGCACGTGCAGAAGGTGTTTGTTGTATTGCTTGCATGAAAAGAACTCGAAATTAATGTATTCAAATATTTTTGGTAAATCTTTTTGTGGAATCGAGTTGTCTGAGTTTCCGATTGTAGACACTCTCTTACTCCCTGCTATCTTTACTGAATTATGGGTTTCCTTAATTTTGTAGACAGTCACTGCAATTAACAGGATACATATAAAAAATTTAATAAAGAAGAGGAAGAAGGTGGGTTCGGTTTCTACTTTCTAGGCTTCTTTGTTTTATGGAAAATTAGTTCTTTCTAAACCATGATCCACACTCATTGCGACATAGTCTGTTTGATGATATTACTGAGTTGTCGCGGTAGTTGATAAATGATTTTGTTAAAGTAGAATTGGAGTATGCTATTGAATTCGATAAATGAATTGAGTTGTGTTTTCTTTAAATTCTTGTGTTTTTTAATGATAAGTAGATTTGTACCAATTCTCATGCACCTCACTTGCGCGCACAACACAATTCTTGCAAAAAGGTGAGTTTGAAGAGGCTATGATTTTTATTGTTTGGAAATTTTCACGAAGTGGATCGATTGGTTGGGAATGGGTTTCTTTGGTGCATGGTTGGTGGTTTGATTATTTACATAGAGACTATGACATACTATTGAATTTCTATATACACTACGAATGGTGTAGATAAGGTATCATGAATGAAGTGAATTTTTTATTTTTCTCAAATTTTATTTTCATGAATTTCATCTCAATTAACACACCATCTTTTTTGTTGTTTGCTTATGTTGCTATTTTAAATTGTTTTAGTTGAATATGAATTTTTTTGTTCACTTAAAATTCTGATGCTTGGATTAATGTTTAATGAGTCCATTGACGGTGGTTCACATTGTTTCATGTATTATAGATTTTTGTTTTCCTCAACTCATGGAAGGCTGAAAATACTCAATAGTTCTCTATGGGTAGATGGATTCTCTGAGATACTTTACCATACATACTGTTTTGGTTTTGTTTTATTGCTAAGGGTTGCAATTTTATTATTGACCGATACTTCAAAATATGGAATGTTCAAACCAAAGGATTCTTATTTATGTGAATTTATTTGGTGGTACGGTGTATTATGAAGATTATTATGTATGATTGTAAGTTCCGTAGACATGTTTATATTTTTCTCGGCTCTTACTTTTAGATGAAATTTTATCGAAATTTTTGAAAAATAGTATGGATTAGTTTGATTTCAATCTATAATAATAAGATAGAATTCAATTTGAATTTTTTTTTGTTTAAAAATTTAATTCAATTTTAATTAATTTGGGAAAGCACAAGAACGGTTCAGATTAAATCTAATTTTAATTCAAAGGCCTAAATTTCACCTCAATTCTTCTGATTTGATCCGATGGTTCACATTTCATCTCAAATAAAAAATAAATCCCGCCCAAATGAAACAAACCCCTACACGCTACCCACCTTTGCACTGTTCACCAGTCACCTCCTTTGCCATGGCTCATGGCTCAACACAGCGGTACCCTTACACGCTACCCTTACACCGTTACCCAGACCCTTCTCACTCATCTGCCATGGCTCAGTGGTAGCACACACCATTCACACCAACGTTCTCAGGGGCAGCACACACACCAGCGGCGACCAGCGACAGCTCAGCCCAGGTACTTTCCTCTCCCCCTCTCTTCCTCTCTCTCTCTCCAATCGCTTAGCAGCACACACACCATTCATATTCACACACACGAATCCCTTTCACCAATGACCGACTTTTGAAACATGGGGGTTTTCATGACATTGCGCATAAACATGGGGGTTTTCAGGCTAAGAGCAATTTGATGGGGGTTTTCATGACATTGCACATAAACATGGGGGTTTTCAGCAGCACACACAGTGAGGTTTTTGAACTTTAATGGAAGAAAGTTCTCTAAGGACAGAAGGTGGTGGACCTTAGTGGGTTAGTCCCATCGGGTCTCTTCACTCACCTGGGTTCATGGGTTTCATGCCCAAATTGTCAGCTTTGTCCTTGGAGAACAACACGTTCTCGGGCATGATACCGATCCAATACGCATTCAAGACGTTGGTTCCGGTTACATTTAGATTGGGTGTCCTTTAAGGTTTTTTTTCTGTGATGGTGTACAGAAATCTTCAATGGAGTGTAGGAGCTTTGATCCTACCATTCCTTGAACAGTGTGAACAAGGTGTGAACATACATCAAAATGCTTATGAATGAGTTATTTGCATCCCCGCTTATTAGAATTGAATTTGGGAATTTGAAGCAATGATCAATTAAGTCCTTAAGTTAGAAAACAAATTGGCTTCGTTTGTACATCGGGTACTTGGATTATGTATTTGAGTGATAGTTAAGTAAGTATTATTGGGTACCAACATTTTGTAAGTAGAACCAAAATAAAGCATAAAACAACAACTGAAAAATCTGCTTTCATAAATCACATATCAATGCCCAGATTTTTTTTTTAATTGATAAGAAATTCAGTACATCACATACTAAATGCAAAATCAGCCTTCAAAGCCAATGGAGCTGCGTCCGCTTCAGCCATATGTTTTGCGATGCTTCTGTTTTTCCCAGCAATACCCTTTTTTCTCTCTGTTTTTCATCTTTGTTTGTTTTTTCTCTGACTATCCACTAGACCGCTAATCTATGAAACATGGATACTCAAGGATTTGTGGGTTTGACTGTGTGTGTATGTGTTGGAGAGAGAGAGAGAGAGAGATGGGGTGTACCTGGGCGTTTGATTATGCATTTGATTTTGTCTTATTTTGAATTTATGCATTTGATTTTGATTTTTTTTTGCTGGTTATCTTTATCTAATTGGCTTTAATTTTTCGATCATAAATAGTTGAGACATGATTTTATCAAGTGCGGCGAGTCATTAATATGTGATTGTGAAAATTCTCGACAATACTGTAGGCCGTCACCTCATTTTTCTAATAGTTTAATTTGGGCCTGTTTTTTCGCAGTGCCACTTCTTATTTCTTGAGTTTTCTTGGACATTAATACGACATGTTCTATAATTTCCCGTATAAATGCATTGGATATTTTTTTATTTGTTTGGGGTAGAGGACATGCCCTTAGGTCTAATTTTCCTTTTTAAATTGTTCGGATTAGGACTATAAGCCATCACTGCTTAAATTAAAATTGTGTGAATCAACTAAGTTGTGATTTAAATTAAAATTGTTTTTATCATGATCTTTTTTTTTTTTCCGGAAAGTATGATTTCTGGAGTTTCCAATAGGTCTGTTATTGCTTCAAGTATTTATATTGGTGGTTGGACTGATACGGAAAAAAATGTACTCTGGCCCTAGGCGGAATATAAAGAATGAGAACCTGATAAGAAACCTTTAGTTGCAGCAACAAGGTTATTAGCAATTGTCTGCATTTTGTGAAGGCAATCAGATATGGTGTGGGACCATTTCTTCGTGTTTGAAGCTGAAGGCATAATAACATACTTAGTGCAAGTGACTGAGATGCAAACAACACAAGAATTGGTATGATCCACTAATTTTTTATTTGTAATTCTATTTAAATTGGATCAAGGTGTGTTCTTTGTTAGAAGAGAAAGTTTGTTTCATGGTGGACTGTTAGTCTACAGAGTTAAAAATCAATCCTTTACCCTTTTGGTTTCTAAATCCTTTACATACTTCCACCGACTTGGAGATTTTATTCTACTTTTTTATTTTTTTTTCCTGGGATTTTTCTTCTGTTGAATGGGAGTTAATTTTCC